CCCCCAATACTAAATTACGAGCCCGGGCCTTAGCCCAATACTAAATTACGAGCCCGAGCCTTCCCTTCCTTTCCAGACTGGTCTCCCCGGCCCCCCCCCCCCCAAACAATTCGAACTATTCGAACTATTCGAAATTATTCGAACTATTCGAACCCCCTTGGTTCGAATAGTTCGAATAGTTTCGAATAGTTCGAATAGTTTGAATAGTTTGGGCGCCCCAGGCCACGCCCCAAACTATTCGAACACCCCCCCTCCCAATCCTAAATCGGGCCTTCTCCCAATACTAAATTACGAGCCCGGGCCTTCTCCCAATACTAAATGACGAGCCCGGACCTTCCCCCAATACTAAATTACGAGCCCGGACCTTCCCCCAATACTAAATTACGAGCCCGTGCCTTCCCCCAATACTAAATTACGAGCCAGGCCCTTCTCCCAATACTAAATTACGAGCCAGGGCCTTCCCCTCCTTTCCAGACTGGTCTCCCCGGGCCCCCCCCCAAACTATTCGAACTATTCGAACTATTCGAAATTATTCGAACTATTCGAACCCACTTGGTTCGAATAGTTCGAATAGTTTCAAATAGTTCGAATAGTTTGAATAGTTTGGGCGCCCCAGGCCGGGCCCCAAACTACTCCCAATACTAAATTACGAGCCCGGGCCTTCTCCCAATCTTAAATTACGAGCCCGGGCCTTCTCTCAATACTAAATTACGAGCCCGGACCTTCCCCGAATTCTAAAAAACGAGCCCGGGCCTTCCCCCAATACTAAATTACCTGCCCCGAATACTAAATTACGAGCCCGGGCCTTCCCCCAATACTAAATTACGAGCCAGGGCCTTCTCCCAATCGAGCACGAGCCTTCTTTCCAGACTGGTCTCCCCGGGCACCCCACCCCCCTAAACTATTCGAACTATTCGAACTATTCGAAATTTTTCAAACTATTCGAACCCCCTTGGCTCGAATAGTTCGAATAGTTTGGGGCATCAGTTTTGTGCGGCATTTGCAGGACTTTTGCAGGGTGCCAAGGGGATCCCGGCAAATTTCGACCCGCAAAGTTGTTCCTACCCGTTCCCGTTTTGTGTGGTATTTGCGGGACTTTTGCAGGGCGCCAAGGGGATCCCGGCAAATTTCGACCCGCCAAGTTGTTCCTACCCGTTCCCGTTTTGCGTGGCATTTGCAGGACTTTTTCAGGGCGCCAAGGGGATCCCGGCAAATTTCGACCCGCAAATGTTGTTCCTACCCGTTCCCGTTTTGTGTGGTATTTGCAGGACTTTTGCAGGGCGCCAAGGGGATCCCGGCAAATTTCGACCTGCCAAGTTGTTCCTACCTGTTCCCATTTTGTGCGGTACTTGAAGAACTTTTCCAGGGTGCCAAGGGGATCCCGGCAAATTTCGACCCGCAAAGTTGTTCCTACCCGTTCCCGTTTTGTGTGTTATTTGCGGGACTTTTGCAGGGCGCCAAGGGGATCCCGGCAAAATTTCGACCCGCCAAGTTGTTCCTACCCGTTCCCGTTTTGTGTGGCATTTGCAGGACTTTTTCAGGGTGCCAAGGGGATCCCGGCAAATTTCGACCCGCAAAGTTGTTCCTACCCGTTCCCGTTTTGTGTGATATTTGCGGGACTTTTGCAGGGCGCCAAGGGGATCCCGGCAAATTTCGACCTGCCAAGTTGTTCCTACCTGTTCCCATTTTGTGCGGTACTTGAAGAACTTTTCCAGGGTGCCAAGGGGATCCCGGCAAATTTCGACCCGCAAAGTTGTTCCTACCCGTTCCCGTTTTGTGTGTTATTTGCGGGACTTTTGCAGGGCGCCAAGGGGATCCCGGCAAAATTTCGACCCGCCAAGTTGTTCCTACCCGTTCCCGTTTTGTGTGGCATTTGCAGGACTTTTTCAGGGTGCCAAGGGGATCCCGGCAAATTTCGACCCGCAAAGTTGTTCCTACCCGTTCCCGTTTTGTGTGATATTTGCGGGACTTTTGCAGGGCGCCAAGGGGATCCCGGCAAATTTCGACCCGCAAAGTTGTTCCTACCCGTTCCCGTGTTGTGTGGTATTTGCGGGACTTTTGCAGGGTGCCAAGGGGATCCCGGCAAATTTCGACCCGCAAAGTTGTTCCTACCCGTTCCCGTTTCGTGTGGTATTTGTAGGACTTTTGCAGGGTGCCAAGGGGATCCCGGCAAATTTCGACCCGCAAAGTTATTCCTACCCGTTCCCGTTTTGTGTGGTATTTGCGGGACTTTTGCAGGGCGCCAAGGGGATCCCGGCAAATTTCGACCCGCCAAGGTGTTCCTACCCATTCCCGTTTTGTGTGGTATTTGCGGGACTTTTGCAGGGTGCCAAGGGGATCCCGGCAAATTTCGACCCGCAAATGTTGTTCCTACCCGTTCCCGTTTTGCGTGGTATTTGCGGGACTTTTCCAGGGTGCCAAGGGGATCCCGGCAAATTTCGACCCGCAAAGTTGTTCCTACCCGTTCCCGTTTTGTGTGGTATTTGCGGGACTTTTGCAGGGTGCCAAGGGGATCCCGGCAAATTTCGACCCGCAAAGTTGTTCCTACCCGTTCCCGTTTTGTGCGGTATTTGCGGGACTTTTGCAGGGTGCCAAGGGGATTCCGGCAAATTTTGAATTTTGGGGGCCCCAGGCCGGCGCGAACCCCCCTTCCTCCCAAACTGGTCTCCCCGGGCCCCCCCCAAACTATTCGAACTATTCGAACTATTCGAAACTATTCGAACTATTCGAACCCCCCTGGTTCGAATAGTTCGAATAGTTCGAATAGTTTGGGGCACCAGCCCTCGCCCCCAAACTATTCGAACTATTCGAACCCCCCTGGTTCGAATAGTTCGAATAGTTCGAATAGTTTGGGGCACCAGCCCTCGCGCCCAAACTATTCGAACTATTCGAACCCCCCTGGTTCGAATAGTACGAATAGTTTCGAATAGTTCGAATAGTTCGAATAGTTTGGGAGCCCGGCCTGGGGCCCCCACACTATTCGAACTATTCGAACCCCCCTTCCTCCCAAACTGGTCCCCCCGGGGACCCCCCAAACTATTCGAACTATTCGAACTATTCGAAGCTATTCGAACTATTCGAACCCCCCTGGTTCGAATAGTTCGAATAGTTCGAATAGTTTGGGGCACCAGCCCTCGCGCCCAAACTATTCGAACTATTCGAACCCCCCTGGTTCGAATAGTTCGAATAGTTTCGAATAGTTCGAATAGTTTAGGGGGCCCGGCCTGGGGCCCCCACACTATTCGAACTATTCGAACCCCCCTTCCTCCCAAACTGGTCCCCCCGGGGACCCCCCAAACTATTCGAACTATTCGAACTATTCGAACTATTCGAACTATTCGAACCCCCCTGGTTCGAATAGTTCGAATAGTTCGAATAGTTTGGGGCACCAGCCCTCGCGCCCAAACTATTCGAACTATTCGAACCCCCCTGGTTCGAATAGTTCGAATAGTTTCGAATAGTTCGAATAGTTCGAATAGTTTGGGGGCCCGGCCTGGGGCCCCCACACTATTCGAACTATTCGAACCCCCTTCCTCCCAAACTGGTCTCCCCGGGGACCCCCCAAACTATTCGAACTATTCGAAACTATTCGAACTATTCGAACCCCCCTGGTTCGAATAGTTCGAATAGTTCGAATAGTTTGGGGCACCAGCCCTCGCGCCCAAACTATTCGAACTATTCGAACTATTCGAACCAGGGGGGTTCGAATAGTTCGAATAGTTTCGAATAGTTCGAATAGTTCGAATAGTTTGGGGGCCCGGCCTGGGGCCCCCACACTATTCGAACTATTCGAACCCCCTTCCTCCCAAACTGGTCTCCCCGGGCACGCCCCAAACTATTCGAACTATTCGAAACTATTCGAACTATTCGAACCCCCCTGGTTCGAATAGTTCGAATAGTTCGAATAGTTTGGGGCACCAGCCCTCGCGCCCAAACTATTCGAACTATTCGAACCCCCCTGGTTCGAATAGTTCGAATACTTCGAATAGTTTAGGGCACCAGGCCGGGCCCCCAAACTATTCGAACTATTCGAACCCCTCTGGTTCGAATAGTTCGAATAGTTTCGAATAGTTCGAATAGTTTGGGGGCCCCAGGCCGGGCCCCCAAACTATTCGAACCCATCTGGTTCGAATAGTTCGAATAGTTTGGGGCACCAGGCCATGCCCCCAAACTATTCGAACTATTCGAACCCCTCTGGTTCGAATAGTTCGAATAGTTTAGAATAGTTCGAATAGTTCGAATAGTTTGGGGACCCCAGGCCGGGCCCCCAAACCATTCAAACTATTCGAACCCCCGTTTGAAAGTTCAGAAAAGACGCATGGTCACATAATACAGGAAGGTTCCTCGTACATATATATATATATATACATACCCAGAACCAGAGTGGCCTGCGTTGTATTTCTATACCAATTACGTTATGTGATGCACCCTGCAATGCTAAAAGGTGCCGGATTGAATTTGGAAGGGATACCCGCTTCTATTCTAACAGGGACCTTCGACTTACAAGGGACTAGACAGTGCCCTATAGCCCCACGCGCCCTAGCCTCTACACCCCCCCCCCCCCCCCCCACTAAACCCTGCAATCCTTGAACATCCTACAAACCTTAAACTGAAACTCTTCAAACCCAATGACAAGCCCTAACTCTGAACGCACCTTGGGATTTCACTGTGCGGCCTGGAGGTTGATTTTATTGAAAGGCCAGTCTAGTCTTCGGGGCCGTCTCACGGGCCGAAGACACAGAGGTGGTTGGGGTGACATCTTTGGGCTGTAGGGTGTGGGTTTTGAGGGTGTAGGGTGTAGGGGTGTAGGGCCAGTGTGTGCTGTGTTGCGCCGGTCACTGGTTCCCTTTGCTCGGTTACGCATCAGAACGCTTGGCTAGGTGAGCTCGGTGTGATCCATTCCGTAACAATGTTTGCACGGGCAGGAACTCATGAAACATCAAACCCGCATGGTTTGTTCCTCCCTCCATGCTTGCATGTGACGACCCAACAGTGGAAGCTCAGTGCCTGGCGACAAGGTAGGAGTTCTTTGTCACAAACGGCGCATAGTATATGAGCTCCTGTCTTTGAAACACTCACGAGCACGTGGGCCGGGGAACTGTCCATATCGTTGCTTGCTCGAGAGGCATCGCACATAGGTCATAGGTCCTTGAGCAAGCCGGCAAACTCATGGTTCCTCGATTACAGCGAAGACAAATCCAAATCAGACTCCTATGAGCCCTCATTACAAGCCCTGCAAGGCATGGAAACGCTAGAAACCCTACCCTCCCCCCTTTTTAAACCTGACAAGCCATCTGGCCCTTGAAAGTATAGAGCAATATGGCCTTGTAAACCTTCAACCGCAGCTCGCAAACGGTTCGCGCAGCCGGCATTTGGTGCTTCAAGGCACGTATCTGCTTTGGGTCTACCCAGCTCTCCACCTCAGACCTTTAACCCTGCACCTTCAAGTGCCTACTGTAGGGGCCTAAAATTTTGAATAGGGTTTTTGTGGGGTATGCTAGTATATTTATATGGGACCATAAGGGAACAGTATTACTAGAAAGAATTCCGACCCATATTAAACCCGGAACCCCGAAGCTTGCACGCCATGAGGCGCATCCAAGTTCACAACCACCGTCTTCGACTCCTGAGCCATGAGTTGGAGGGTTTAGGGTTTAGGGTTTAGGGTTCAGGGTTTAGGGTTCAAGGTTCAAGGCAATGAGGGAAAACTGGGGTCTTGGATAATTGAAGCCATCCAAGGTGTGCTTTTAGGGTTTAAGGGCTTCAGGGCATCGTTAGAGCTTTAGGTTGGTTTTAAAGCTTAGCGTGCAGGTCCTTCTGGTGACCTAGGATGATTCCCCACACTGTTGCAAATCAACAGCTCAACCCCTTTCCGAGCATTGATTTGGAGTCTGGGGCATTTAGAGTTACCCAAAGGCTCCAATGTAGTTCCTTTTTGGGCTAGTCAAAGGGGATTTTAGTATGCTGCCCCAAAAAAAGTACTACATAGGAGCCTTTGGGTAGAGCTAAGGTCGGGGTTTATGATAATAGGGGTACCTGATTGGGGTTCTTTTTATAAGGGGCTCCTTCTGTTTGGGGGGTGTATTTTGGGGGTCCCGTATTTTCGTAAACCCCCAGGTGCTGCTGCAATTGAGGCTTTAGTCGTGCGCGTTTCCCCTTGCCCTCACACATCATGGATTCGCCTAGTACACCCTGTATACTAACCCCCCTACCCCCCTCCAACTTAAGGCTACCTACTTAGGCTACCTAGGGATAAGTAAGCCTAATTAAGGTTATTTAAGGGGGGAACACAGGGGGGAAGTATAGAGGGCGGAGGTAGGGAAACCCATGAAAACAGGGATCCTTGACGTGGCCGCTGGGAGCTTGCAAGCAGTCCAAGTCCTCAGCTGGCAATTTTACCTTCTTTTGCCAAACCCCTAAAACCTAAACCCCAAACCCTAAACCCTAAACCCTAAGCCCGAGATTCTCTTGGGGGGTGGGCACTCCAAGGATTTTTGGGACCAGGCGGGGCTCGCTGTTTCGGATGGGCACTTCAGGGATCAGAGCAGGAGACTGGGCAGGACATCGGGTTTCAGGGTTTACCTGAAGGCTCCAATGTAGTTCCTTTTCGGGATAGCTATAGGGGATTCTAGACTACCCCAAAAAGGTACTGCATAGGAGCCTTTAGGTAGGGTTTAGGGTTTAGGGCTTATAGAGTTTAGGGTTAAGAGCAAGAGGGGAGAATGGTTGCTTAACTAAAACTTATAGAATAGCCGAGAAACAAAAAGGCCACCCTTACCCTTCTTGGGTTTGAAGGGGTTCTGCCCCTATGCCTCGTCATTTCTTCTATACGCCCCCTCCCTGTTTGCAGAATAGACCCCTGCCCCCTGCCTCCTCCAACCCTGCCCCCCCCCCCCCCCCCCTCCCCACCCGCTGCCCCTAATCCCTGCCTGCCCACTACCGCCAGAACTAAGCTGGATGGCTCCAGCGCAGCCCCACCCTCACCGCCCTCACCCCCCATTCCAATCAACCCGATAGACACAAACCCACGCCGCCCTCACCGCCCAGACCCTGGGCCTACTCTGGGTCCTAGTTGACTTAAGATCTCTAGCAAATTCAGACCGTGGGTGGGGAACAAAGCCAAGCCGCGAAACCCCAAAACTGCGAACCGTCAAGAAACGACCGCGTTCACAAGTAGAATCCGGATGGCTTGGCTGGAGTGCTTGTGACTGCACAAACCCGACACCCTAAACCCTAAACCCTATAAACCCCCTAAATCCTGAACCCTAAACCCTGAACCCTACTTTGAGTTGCCTTCCACCCCGCTTACTGCCGATAGGTCGGGGATCGAGGACATAAATACACAGAGGGTCTAATTATGCTATTAATGTGTACCGATCCACATTGACCTCCGAAACCATAACTACTATTTGCTGAAGAACCCCCTGCCCCCCCCCCCCCCCCCCCCCCCCCCGCAAAAAAAATAACATAAAAGTCCTTCTGATAAGGGTCATATGGAGACTATGTTCTTGTAGTTCTTGGGGCTCTTAAGCAAATACTAGAAGAACACCCCTGGTTCCTACACGTCCGCTGCAAGCAGGGGGCATGCATGTTGCCGGCGACAGCTTGAAATGTCTCCTTGCGCCAGCTGAGAAGTTGCTCCACAGGGGAACTCTTAGGGTTTAGGGTTTAGGGTTTACGGGTTACGGGTTTAGGGTTGAGCATGGGCCCTATACCCTTTATAAACCCCATACGCACCCAAGACTTCAGAACCTTTTAAATGGAGGCAAGGGCCCATCTAGCTGATCCTAGAGGAACCCTGCACTAGCTCATGGTTGGGATCGTATAGAAAATTTACATCTAGATTCCTTGTTGGGTTTTAAGTACTCTTAAAAATGTAAAATGTTACCCAACTATGACCAAGTGAACCCTAAACCCCAAACCCTTAAAACCCAGAATCCAAGGAGCCGCAAGCCCACGTCAATGCCCGATTCACAAACCTGGAGACGAACACCTGACTAGTTCCTAGTAGGGACTTAGGCAACTAGGTGCCTTCTATCCCCCTCTATCACACTTTACGGTAGATCCCCTTCTGAAGGGTCTTGCGTTCAAGTCTAGGCGGGGCTTGGCCCCTATATACTCGTTAAACTACTTTGTACACTGCATGTGCCCTCTTTGTGGGCACAGGTCGCCCTAGGCAAGGCTTAGAACCTGAATAGGTAGACCTAGAGTAGGAAAAGCTAAGGTTGATTTCCTTTGTGGGGCCCTCTCGGGTCAGCATCAACGTAAGCAAGAGTCACGGGTGTATTTGAGACCCAACCTTTGGGGTTTAGGGCTAGAAGACATGTCCTTCTTGAAACAGGGTAAGGCGTTCGCCCAGGTCAACCCACAAAAGTGTAAGCCCAAGCCCATGCTCTTGGGTTCCGCTCCTGGGCATCGGCCAAGCCCTGTATGAAGCGGACCTGGCAGCGCGCTGCCCGGAGACCCTTTTTGTCGTTACCTATCATGCTCTTACTCTATTACTCTTCTACATGGGCGGGACTTGAAGTTTTGACCTAGCTGGGACGACCCATTCTTGATTCCTCGATTCCCATGGCGGCTCCCACTCGCCTTCCGTTCCCAAACTGGGGTTGCATAGCTCTTCACGCAGTCTGCGCAAGGAGGGCAGAACCAGTTTGCTGCAAAGACCTCGGTGCATGGCGGGTGCTGGCGATGCATTATGGAGCCCAGGAAACATCTTTTTGACAAAAGGTTGGAGTTTTAAAAAAGGCCTACTTTAGAGTGTCTTAGGAGTTCACCCTGTAGTACCTTTTTGAGGTAGTATATACTAGAATCCCCCTGCTTGCATTGCAAGCAGGACCTACATTGAACTACAGTGGAGCCTTCAGGTAGGGTGTCGGAGACAAGTGGGCCAGGCTGTGACCTTGAATTCTTAAGGCCCCGACCATGTCTGGATGATGTCTATCCACCTCAGATACACGAAGCGACTCGAAACCCGAAACCCTAAACTCTATACCAGCACCGCCCAACTATCCTTTAACCATCATAGTAGGGTATAAACCCCCTGTATTAAGGGTAGCTGGGGGGGGGGTTCAGGTAGACCCAAACCCTATAACAACCCGAAATCCGGTCTTTGGGTCTGGCGGTTGGGGTGGAGGGGTTTTGGCCTTATAAGTTAGGTGTGAAGCCTTGGTGCGTAGGGGTTTATGTACACTTCGCACGGTTGCAGCTGCAACTGCCCTAATATAAGGGTCGCATTAAGTACAAATAGTCTTTCTTTATGGTCCTTTATAAATATACAATAATAACCACTAAAACTTCCCACAACTCTCTTTGTAATTCTTATGAGGCCCCTATATTACGCATGACCCTACGTCATCAAACAGCAAGCGCCCGGGGCTTGAAGGAGTTTGAAGGAATAGGCGCTTCCTGTAGACGCTGCTGGTGATGGGGACAAGTCTCTGCCATGGTATTGGTTGCCTTTGAACTGCCCCTCACCCTTGTAGTTTTCTAAGGGAACCCACCATAGAAGTAGAGGTTACTTTGGAATCTTCAGGTAAACCTACTCGTCCAGCTTCATGGGGATTACATCAGGAATCATGCTACCTGCTGAAAAAACATACTCAAGGTCACTTACAACTCGACTAGCTGAGCAAAGCCCCTGGAACTCAAGACCCAACATTTTGCATCTTATAGGTTCAACTCTCGAAGCAGAGAGTGACAAGGGTGCGTGTGACGGGGGGGTTACCAGAAGGCACCGAAGGTAGTGTCAAAACAAACGAAGAAGGAGAGGGAGACGCTCCAAACGACACGTCAATTCGTGTAATCCGAGGCTTTTGACTCAAATCTTTTTGTTTGGCCAGAACCCTCCGGGAGAACTACTTTCCATGGCGGGAGCCAAAACCGCCCAAAATGCACAAACGAAAAACACCTCAAGAAAAGATCCGAGAGCACGTCGTGGGCAACTGCTTACTTCAGCAATTCAACATCTCTGTGCTTGTCGTCATCGTAAACCCAACGGGCTTTCTCTTATGTGGGTGTTTTGGTATTCCCTGTGGCCTTCAGCATGATCACTTTTGTGGGCCACAGTTGTTTCTTGAAATATCATGTTGGAGGCTGGGGACTTAAAACTGCGATTCCTTACTACTTCGCTTGCGGGCATTCGCTCCTGACCTACTCGGCGGACCTACCCCTTACGGGAACAGAATAGGGCCAGAGTTCGGGATTAATAAAACCCCCGAAAATAATGGAAAGCCCGCGGGCCCACGATGACCACAAGCACAGAGATGTTGACTTGCTTAGGTAAGCAGCTGCCCACGACGTGCTCTTGGATTGTTTCTTGAGTTGGAGGCTGCAGCTAGCACAAAACTGCGATCCCGTATTGCTGCGCTTGGTTCGGTGCCCACATCATTCGCTGACCTAGCCCTTACGGGACTGGAATTCAGGGCCGGACCCTGGGAATTATAAAACACCGAGAAGTAGAGAAAGCAAATTAACCAAACCCATCCAAAATAAGAAGACTAGAGGACCAAACAGCCCAGGAAATAATACGACCCTTTCCTTTATTCATGGACATGGGGGGGGGGGCCCTGCTAATCAGATTCTCGGACTAGACACGTTGTTCCATTCAACACCTGCCACAACTCACCTGCAAACTTCGCATGTGCAAGATGTACCAAAGCCCCCGAGACGACGCAACGCAGATTTAGCAGCACAATCCGAATCCGTAAACCCTATCCTGCAGACCCTACCCCCTATGCCGTGGCGCTGACAGTACGTACGTTGGTCTGTCATGCTCCTCCTCACGTTGGATCCAATCCAGTATCGTAGCCTCGGCCCAGCACGGTAAACATGTCACACTTTTGGGTTGGCTACTTTGTAAGGGTTTCTTTAGAACCAACAAAAAAAGGGCAAAAGGGTACCACTAAGCTACCAAGAAATAGGGAATATACGAATACAGTAGATAGATTACTCGAAGTCGGTTTCAAGGGTTTTGTCAGCAATTGTTCTGGTCTTACCTCAACAACGCCACCTACTGCAGTGGATACATCTGTTGTGAAGCCTGAGCGCGGCTGGGCACCCAGATGCGTCGCTGACGCGCAGGAAAATGCAGGAAACAAGCACGGATGACGGCTCACCACTGTAGGAAGAGGAAATTCTGTGCAGCAAAAGCATTCACTGCATCCGAGCTTCGAAAAAATACGTCAACCCTCCCTTGTAGGTACCGGTTTCAATGATGACATCCGGCTTCTTCATATACCTCGGAGTCAAGAAGGTTCTTTCAAGACGTCTCTTAAAGCAATGCTACAACTGGATACTGTATGTTAATCATGTTTAAACAAGAACCATCGGCCTCCAGATCATTCCTTGCAGTCTTTACGGCTACCGCATCCCTTCAGCTTGGCATGATTGTTTCGAACCACTCTCGTTCCTGAATCTGCAAACCCCGAGAGCTTTGGTGTTTGGCGTTGCAAAGACTGAGGTCTGAGACTTGGGTAGGGTGAGTCTTGAGGCCCAAACTCACAGGAGCTTTAGCAGATTTGGGCTGGAGACCTTCATGAATCTGGCCCCGTGATCCTGGTTACAGACAGATCCAACACTCGGGTTTAGGGTATCAGGGTCTAGGGACCCTGAACTTATGAAGCCATTTCTAGCCACGCAACACAATGTGCTGCAAGTACATGAGATCCTGCGAGTCCTGCAGAACCTGGACGCCCAGCCACCTGCACAAGCGGGCTCGAAGCCCTCAACCCATCAATCCAACACCCTGTTTAGGCCACTGTGTCCAGATGATGTAAGGATGAGGACACTCTGAGAAGGAAGTAAGGCCATAGCCTGTACAGTGAGGCTCAAAGTAGAACCCAAACATGCCCCACACTGGAGCGCAAATTCCTTATTAGCCCCTTGGAGTCTTAGGGTACCCCAAGAGCCCAATACCCCTTTGCTTCAGACACATAGCGTGCACTACTAGAGGCCTCTTGTGAACTTGAACTGCAAGATCTACTCCATAAATTCAGAGGGTTTGGGCAGGTTCCGGCATGTTTCAACTTTGGTCTTCTGGCTTCACGAACCCTAAACTCCGAGACCCTACAAACTCTGAACAGCTCTAAACTCTTTACCCTAAACTCCGAAACCCTAAAACCCTAGAAAACCCAAAGCCTAAACTTTCCTACAAGCATCCTCCGAGCCCCCCGCCCCCCCATATCCTTCTCACCTAAACCCTAAACCCTAAACCCTAAAACCTAAACCCTAAACCCTAAACCCTAAACCCTAAACCCTAAACCCTAAACCCTAAACCCTAAACCCTAACCCTAACCCCTAAACCCTAAACCCCCCGCCCTAAGCCTGCCATTGCAGAAGAGGGAGTACTTCTCAAAGATGGCATCGTAGTCATCCAGCGTCTGCCGCTCTGCATCACCTGCGCCCCGGCAACCTTTGAGCCCAGAGACCTCTTATAGGGCTTGGGACTTCAGGGTTTGGGGTTTAGGGTTTAGGGTTTAGGGTTTAGGGTTTAGGGTTTGGGGTCTAGGGTTTAGGGTTCAGGGGTTGATTTGGGTCAGGGTTTGGGGGCTTTAGGGTGCAGCAAGCAAGCAAGTCCATGCCCGGCAGCCTTGAGCCCGAGGCACCTGAGCCCTCAGCCCAAAGACCCCGAAGCTCTCAGCATCACGAGAAGAAAACTGAAACTCTAAACCCTAAGCCCTGAACCCTAAACCCTGAACCCTAAACCCTAAACCCTGAACCCTAAACCCTTAACCCTAAAAGGTAAACCGTAAGCTGCTCTCCGCACACACAAGTGTCGAGTCGCTGAGAAGCTGGAGACTGGATTGTTCCACGATGGTCTTCCTTTGAGGCCATGAGAGCGCATCACAGGTATCTAAATCGTAGAAAAGCCCTCCCTCTAATATTAACCCCCTTTCCCTCCAGCACTAAATATATTAAATACTCCCCTTATCGTTATGATTTTGTATAGGGGGGGGGTGTTTAATTCTAGGGGGTGGGGGGGGGGCTTAATATTAGGGGGAAGGGATTAAACGTGAAACCCGACTCTGTGTATTTGCTTGTGCGTGCCGCAGCAATGCCAAATTCCAATCTTCCCAGGCCAAGCGCTCCCCCAAACCCTAAACCCAAAACACAAACCCTAACCCTAAATCCCTGACTGCTGGACACCTCAGAAGCGAAGTGCCGAAGGCATACCAGTCTGAGGCGGTGCTGCCAAGAAGCGAACCCGAGTTAGCCGGCTCCCCCTCCGGCCGAACCAGAGAGACCTTTCTTACAAGCTTTAGACCTGCGGTACCGAAGTAGGCAGGGGAGGGGGAGGGGGGGGGGGTCGATAGCCCTAGCAACCTGTGTAATATATGGAAATAAATATAAATATATATATATATATATACATGGTAACTTGTCTAAATTATGGGTCCTTTTCTGGGGTTACAAGTACCAGGCAGCCCCCGGCACCCAAAAAGGTGACCATCATTTTTTGAACTGACCATCTAATGTTTACATGCACACATGCATATGGGAGATTTCATGAATCCGGGGCGGAGTGGGGGTGTATTTGCAAGAGACGCGCGGGGAAATGTTCTACCGTTCCATCCTTGCGGTTTTCTAAAATGTTTAGGGTTTAGGGTTTAGTGGGTTTAGGGTTTAGGGTTTAGGGCCACGGGTGCTACCTTGCAAGAGGGACGCATTCAGGCATCTTGACACAATCCCACGCGCCCTGAAACTCCAGCCCCAAACCCATCTAGCACATGCAGGGCCCATTCGCCAACAACGGTGAACCTGAGGACCAACAACGGGGACTTCCTAGAGGGCCCAATACGCTCTCCATAATTACGAGGGCTACCTGGGGTCCTATTTCCCTACAGTCTTATGGGTTCTACTAACAAATTAAGGGGTAGTTTCTACTAAACTGTAGGTAAAAAGAGTCCCTTTAGTGAATGAGAAGGAGCCCTCCGTTGCAAAACCTTCGTACAAGACAGCGCCAAAGCGTTGTGCCTTGAAGCTGTCTGCCAGCGAGTCCGAGCGCGGAACCTCGGAAAGGGTTACCGGCCCTGACGAAAGGGGCATGGCTTACCAAAGTGGGTCCTTTTCAGCGTTTGGAGCTAACCTCGAAAGGCCTGTGGCCAAGCGGATTGGGGTCTTAGGGTGTGGCATTACAAGGCCCCGCGGCCTAAATCCTGTAAAACCTAACCCCTAAAACTTAAACCCTAAATCCCGTAAGCCTTCCATCAGCACTATAAGACCTTGGTTTGCACCTGGGGGTTTGCTGAAGACTTCAATGTTGAAATGGCTCGGTTTGCTTCAGGACTAGGGGGGCGAGGGGTTCTAGTTGTAGCGCCCTAAACCCTAAACCCTAAACCCTAAACCCGAAACCCGACACCCTAAACCCTGTGTTGCAGGGAGCTTGGGCCAGTAGGCACCGAGGTGCGGCATCCAGGTCTGCGAAGGTCACCGCAGCAGAGGCTCCGACCTGAAGGCTGACTTCTTGCACTTAAAGGCTTCTTGAGGGTTTAGGGTTTAGGGCTTAGGGCTTAGGGTTTAGGGTGAAGGGTCTCGGGTCTAGGGTTTGGGGTTTTGGGTTTAGGTTCATGGGTCGTTGCATTTGGGTTCTAGGCTGGCCTATTTTGGGAGTACCTACCCTACTTCTACCTACCCATGAACCTTCAAGTGGCCCTATGCCCTAGAACCGTCTAAGACGCCGCTGAACCCTAAACCCTAGACCGAATACACCTACACCCTAAACCCTAAACCCCTTCTTGTCCCGCCCAAGTGCCAATCCAAGCGACAAGGAAGACCAACAGGCCAAGCAGCTGAGACATGGCATTGCTTAACCGACGAGAAGGCAAGGCTGTAGGCTTTTCGGGAATTGAAGTGGGGGGAGGTCTGGGGGCTTAGGGTTCAGGGTTAGATCTAGGGTTTTTTTGGGAGGGTTTGGGGTTTAGGGTTACGGTTTTTGGGGAATTAGAGTGGGGGGGGGGGAGGTTCGGGGCTTAGGGTTCAGGGTTTTCGGGGTGTTTTGGAGGGTTTGGGGTTTTGGGTTCAGGATTTGGAGAGGGTTTGGGGTGTAGGCTTCACGGATTTCGGGTTCCGAGGCAGGCTTGAGCCTTGTGCCGCAGGGTCTGTGCTGAGACTCGTGGTGGGCACAGACTGGGATTTTTCGGGTGCAGGGTTTTCGGGTTTCGGATTTCGGGTTTCGGGTTTAGGGTTTAGGGTTCAGGGATTTCACCTTCAAGCTCGTCTACCTGTGTGGCTGCATTGCTGAGGGTTTAGGGTTTAGGCTACCTTCAATTGAGCTTTGGAACCCTCACAAAAGTCGCTTTGTTGTGGTGCTCTAGGTAGAACTCCAGGCCAAACGAAGGACCCACTAGGCTGCCATGTAACCTAATTAAAAAAGGCTGCCTGTATTATTGGCTTATGTAACGGGGCGTCCTCGCTGCGTCAACCACAAACAACACCGGAGGCCCGAGTTCCCTCAGATCCTTCTGCCTTGAGGCTGTCCAGATCGTCCTGGCTCTGGCCTTCTTGCGAGGTTAGGACTCTGGGCTGCTGGCAGTTAGGGGTGTAGGAGTTGAGGGTTTAGGGTTTAGGGTTTAGGGGTGTAGGAGTTGAGGCAGGTTCACGAGGCTTGTTCATTCTCAGGGCTTTGGGCTGCAGGGTTCATGATTTGCCGTATGCGGGTTCTTCTTAACTCTTGCAGCATTTCAAGGGGACTTGAGGACGTTGTTGTTTGAAGCTCGAAGCCATAACCTTATCTAGAGCAACCTTGAATCTCTCCAAACCCTGAACCCTTAAACCCTTAAACCAAACCCTAAACCCTAAACCGGTGTAAAATGACACAACAGAACTTGAGCCAAGATCTCAGTGCTTGTGAGACCCACCTGGAGCTCGCATGCTTGGTTTAGGGTTTAGGGTTTAGGGTTTAGGGTTTAGGGTTTAGGGTTTAGGGTTTAGGGTTTAGGGTTTAGGGTTTAGGGTTTAGGGTGTAGGGTGTAGGGTTTAGAGTCTGCTGACAGGTCGCTCAGAGCTGCACGCGACCCCCGCAGCTTGTCTTGGGCTTGCTCCAGAGTCACCTCCTGTGCCGTGGATGTCGAGGCTTTAGGTTTCTAGGGCCCGTTTGACCGGAGTACCCTGAACCTTAGCAAAAAGAGTAGATCACTAGCCAAACATGATTTAGACTACAAGATGCTAGGGGTAGGTTGTTACGGTTCAGGGTTCTGGGGCTTTGGGCTGAGGGTTCACTGTCGAGACCCCAAGGCCCGGAAAGATCCTAACTTGCCCTGGAGCGTGGAGTTTCTAATCACATAACGGTTTAGGGTTTAGGGTTTAGGGTTTAGGGTTTAGGGTTTAGGGGTTAGGGGTTAGGGTTTAGGGGTTAGGGTTTAGGGGGCGAAGAACCCTTCATGCCGAATCCAGAGTCCGAGAGCCTCAAGCCTAATAAAACGAAGACAGGTCTTGGAGGTGTTGAGTGTTCCGGTGGGAGGCGGAATCTGTGTAGGTCCTGTTGTAGAGTTCAGGGTTCGGGTGCGATCGTGTTTGCTGTAAAGGGTGTAACCACAAGATGCGCATGCCTCCTCCCACTTAGCATGTCCGACTTGGCCCAAGCGACGCCGAAGCCTCCGCACGGTGCCCATACTTCATGGGATCTGGGGTTTAAGGGGTCCATCCTGTACGTGGCGGCCATGGTGTCAATGTCTCGCAGATGTAAGGACAACCATGCACCCCCAAACCCTAAACCCGTGAACCTGGAAGTTTACGATCACAAGCCCTGGGCCTTGCATGATCAGCCCACCGGGGTTCGGTATCCATGGGTATCTAATTGGGTGTCAGCCCTCTACAACCTAAATCCTATACCCTAAACCCTAAACACGAAACCGAGTATCCTCCACAAGGCGAGAAGCCAAAACATCGACCCAAAGCTGCTTGCAACATGCTTAAGCTTAAAATCTACTGGAGATGCATCCCGCGCATGGTATTGAACGAACGGATTACGAACCTAGCCGCGATCCTCCACCCGAAGAAGGAACTCCGAACCATGAGCCCCTTGACAATTGGAGGGTTTCGACGCCTTAACCCTTCTTGCAAACCCCCTCAGGTGGCAGTGTAATATAGGGGTCGGAATAAGTAGTAAAAATAGTCTCTTATGGTCCCTTTGTACTTATTCTATTAAAAATGCTCAAAACACTATTCTAATTATTCAGGCCCCTATATTCGCCAAGTACAAACTGCGGACCCTGACCTTGCAAGAGACCGCAACATTTGGCGCAGTGACACCATGGAGCCCGAAATGCCCGGAGTTTCAAGCTCCCAACCTTGTTATGTCACATGAGTCATATATGTATATGCATGTAACAGATTACGCTAATAAGCAATTACAGTAACAAATCAACAAACATACCTCTCTCTATACATATACACACCGGAACCTATGAAGGTTAATTCAGTGGTTTAAGGAAGGGAGCGAGATAGAGTCTTAGGATAGTTACATGGCCGCTTAATGAATACGGGCCCTGCAAGCCCTTACACGCCCTGTGCAACCCAAGAGCCATACATCAGAACCCTTTAAAGAGGGTTCGGGGCCCATGTAAAGGACCATGAAACCACCCGAAGAGAAAGAGAGAGAGAGAGAGAGACTAGGACAGATTGAGTTCTTTCATGCCATCATATGCATCAAGGAACCCCAGTAACCTTGCACCAACCATGGCAATGGGGCTTCAGAACTAGTACAAGTGCCGTAAAAAAAGGAAAAATGCTGTTGCCCATCGCGCCTGGCAAGTTGTGACAAGGCTTGGCCGAACGTCAAAACCACCTGGCAGCTGAAACTTCTGTGGGAGTTGACCTCTCTTGGCCCCCGGAAACGATGAGGAGCATGGCGTACTAGCGGGTAGACGAGCGAGCCCCCAAAAAACACAAAAGGTCAAACCGATGACAATACACCGAGGCAGTGCATGGTAAAGTCAGGGCCCCCTGAGCCCAAAGCCCTAAAACCATAACCAAGTTGGCGTCAAGCACGTTGGCTCAGGGTTTTGTGGGGTTGAAATGCGGTGGCTCGGGCAGACCTTCGTGCGCAGGGCCGGAGGCATGTTCCGCGACTGCTCCAAAACTCTCCGCGACCCTCATGTAGGCCCCCTCAACTATACTCTTTAACCCCTCCGTCGCACAGTTGCTCAGCCAATGCAGGTCAGTACAGGCAGCGCTCATTCAACACATCCAGTTCACAGCATTAACACCTAACAAACGTTGTGCTCTCGAACATCTACGGTTCACTATCTCAGCTACCTGTACCCTGCAAGCTGAGCAGCATGCAAAAGCCCACACTATTCGACACTCTGCCTCTTGAACTAATGAATGCAAATTCGGGCATTGATACCCACTTCAAGAGAGAATGTTTGAACTCAGTGGCCAATTCTGCGTGTATTGCTTAAGAAAGACTGGTAGTCTTAGGGTGGACATCTCAACCTGAACCCTAAACCCCAACGGAACCATGGCCCCAGCCTCGGCGGTTGCAATGGCCCTGTTGGTGGACTGTGTCTTGGCAGGGTCATGGCCTGGGATTAGGGTTTCGGGTTAAGGGTTTTTTTTTTAGGATTGCCAGTCGCTTCCGACACTCTGGGCGAAAAGGCTGAAATTAAAAGGGCTGCGTGTAGGCGCGGCCACGAGGCGTGCAGGGAAGTCTCGTTCTCTTCTTACTAGCTTTTGCAAGCTTAGGAGATCTATCTTCAGGCCCTGAACCGACAATACTCCAAAGCATGGGCGCTGACAACGCTTGGCGGCGGAGGGCCAGTTTTATGATTTGTATACTGCGAGATTCGATCTTTAAGAGCAGGTCCATGCGCTACATGATGTAGGGGCTGGTTTGGAGCTAGAACAGATTCGAATAACTTAAACTGCTGAGACAGTACAATTTGGGAGGGGAGGAGTGGTCTGTGAGCTTGTATCCAAACTAACTTATTTGTGATATGGGAGTAGTAGGAGGCCTTGACACCTATGACCTATTGCTCTTCTTAGATGCTGAAAGAACCATGGATCTAGTTTGCGAAAGTCCTTGTTTGCCATTGCGAGAGCGCTGA